GGTCAGGGGTTTTACACCCCAGGCAGTGTACAGTGCTTCACACGCCCCAGGCAGTGTACAGTGCTTCACACGTCCCAGGCAGTGTACAGTGCTTCACACGCCCCAGGCAGTGTACAGTGCTTCACACGCCCCAGGCAGTGTACAGTGCTTCACAATGCTTACAAAAGCCAGCTTTTATAGAAAGTAAGTCCAGCACCTGGGCCCTAAATCGGGCCTCTCCAGGGACCTCAGATCCTGTTTTTTAATCACACTGCCCCAGCCAGCTTTTAAAAATGAGCATAAAACCTCCCACCGTACAGCCTTAGTGTTTAACGAGCCAGAGATCGCAGCATTTAGCCGCGACCCGAACAGAACAAAGCTCAGCAGTGCCCATGCCTGGCTGCCCTCACAGTGATGCCGAGATGGATCGGGGACCGCCCCCCCATAATGACGACAACATTTTAGCTTAGACTACAGAAACAGTGGCTCATCTCAGTATTAAAACAATTGCAGGCCTATAAGGTGTCTTACTCTAAAATAGCTTGAATGAATCCCATTTTTGGCAACAATTAGATTTAAATTTACAGTGAGGTGAGGAATCTAAGCTTAACAGACCAATAAATTAGGCTAAGCTTAAACCAAACTGGCATTCGGCGTCCGTTAACACACGTCCCCTTCAGGGTCGCGCTGGGTGACTGGCGCCTCGCTGGCCGTGACGTTCCTGCATCCTGCACCCGCACCTGAAAGCCGCTTACGGCACGTCTGACCTCCTTATGCTCAGAGGGAGCTGGGAAGATTAAATTGCTCCGTTTCTCCCTGACAGCAGCTGCCTGCTTCAATCTGCCCGACACAGACTGACTTACCATCATCCCGCCTGAACTGTCTTCGCGTTGGGAGACGAGGGGTTAGACAGCAAACAGCTTCTACAGCAAGCAAATGCCCTTGAGACCAACAGCCTGGGACATATCTCTACTCCCATGTGCAGGCAGACTTTGAAGGGCTGTCGTTTCCATACATGCTGACAATAGGCTGGATCTGGTTAAACACCTGGGGGGTGTTCCACAAAGCAGGATTTCCTGGTTAGCGGGATAACTTAAGCCAAAACTGCCCAATAGGAGGAGAGGTAAGAGATATCTCAGTTGGACAATCCTTACATTTGGCTTAAGTTATCTGGCTAATGAAGAAGGCCTGTTTTATGGAATACTCTCCAGGTGAAGCAGAACACTGATTTTAATTGATTATTCCTTTCAGTGAAGCAAACATTAATTCAGCAGATACCAATTTTAAATTAGCAGGGGCCACAGAGTCCCCGGAGTTATCGGAGGATAAGAGCCTTGCTCAAGGGCCCAATGGTGAAATTACTCTGCCAGCTGTGGGATTTGAACCGGCCGCCTCCCAAGCACAAGCACAGCATCCGAACCCGCAGAGACATTGAGATGTGAAATTGCTGCATGCTGATCCAGCTCTTCCAGTAACAGAAAGCTGAAGGACCTTGCATAAGGGTCCGTAGATATGTGGTTGTTCTGTTGAGCCTGGGCTCAAACTGGTGATTTTTCTACCACAAGCACAGAAGCCCAGCCAACTGAACCACACGCTACTCCACTTCTGGCCAGATAGCTGGAAGCCTTCAGTTTGAAAGGAGAAAAAAAAAAAACAATATGGTGACATCATACAGCGAAGACTGTGACTGGGTGACATCATACAGCAAAGACTGTGACTGGGTGACATCATACAGTGAAGACTGTGTCTGGGTGACATCATACAGTGAAGACTGTGTCTGGGTGACATCATACAGTGAAGACTGTGACATCATACAGTGAAGACTGTGACATCATACAGTGAAGACTGTGACATCATACAGTGAAGACTGTGACATCATACAGTGAAGACTGTGTCTGGTCAGGTACAGCTCGGGTATGGCTCGGTTCTTGGCAGCACACACAAGCACCACAAGAAGCGAAAGCACCTCCGTTTTTGACTCAGGGACGCGTTGATAATGCGTTGAGGATGTGCCAGGTCCTTCATAGGCAGGTATAAACTTTCATTTGGGAAGAAAATCATATAGTACATCTCCATCTGTCTTCCATAACTTCATATGCAGCATTGGGCCTGAAGCAGGGTGAGCCTAAATCCTATCCCAGAATGCACAGGGAACAAGGCAGGGGACACCCCAGACAGGATGTCAGTCAATCAGCACTCACACACTATAGGCAGCAGTGCTTGTCACTCAAACCATGCGTTTGGTCTCAGTCACTACATTAAATATTAAACAAACACGTTCCTTGTGTAGGAGATGCTGAAGCAGCATGGTCTGCTAACCAGCCTGGCCGATACGATCTTCTGACTCTAGTTACTAGCTATTTAGTTTTCGAGACCCCAAAGTGCCTTTTTGAGTGTGGCCCCGAGAACAACAGACCCACCATCGATAATCCAGTGGCACCCACAAACCCACCTGCGTGTTATCAGACTTTGTAAGGAAACACAGGGAGATCATGCAGACTGCAGCCACAGAGGCAGGCATGGGATTAAGATTTCAAATTGTGAAAGTGAGGCTGAATGCATCACGCATCAACAGGACAAACCAGGATGTCAAAAAATGCTACCCAGCTTATAAAACAATATCATCGATTCTGCAAAAGATGCGTATAATTAATGTTTAAAGATATTTCCGACAAACATTCTGGAATCAGTGGAAAATTCATTTAACAGAAGACATTTCTGCATAATCTAACAACATATGTTTTATTTGTGGTTTTTGCTTTTTTCAAATTCATTTTTTTAACAAAACCATGAATATAATTTTAGTTTCATACCGGTTTTCAGGCCTTTTGGAAGGGATTCTGATCAACATCTGAAATCAAGCCCCACATTTTCCTGCAAAAAGTTACTAGAAAAATGAAGAAGAAAAAAATCCGCCTGCAATCAGTGCAAATAAGTGAAACCAGTCCGGCAGCAATAATATGGAAGGATACTTGTGATACTCGTGAATGTTCTTAGGACGTTCAGCTGCCACTGCACTGGACAATGCAGTGACCATTAAAAAACAGGAAAAACTGGACCGAGCTAAAAGGAATTCAGGACGGTTCACTTTATACATCTGGGTTGTAAATGAGCCAAAACATTCTCAAACGAACCCTCCGACAGCTCAGGTGGCTTATTTCAACTGAATATCAGTAAAGCCCAATGATCTCGTCTGTCTTTCCCTGTGTGTCACTACTTGCAGACTGCTAAGAGTCTATTCAGCAAAAATTTACTTTAAAACTGGTTGTGTGAAAATCAAGACTTTTAAGACTCTTGTTAAAAAATGTTATTTTCCTCCCCCAGCTATTTCTTACACTTAAAAGTCTTAGGCAACACAGTGCAACGGTGTTCTTCATCAAAACACCAAGACTGAAAACCATCCCCGTGGCCAGCGATTATGCACTTGCGACGGACGATCCCATTGTGTGCTGTGATGTGACTCTAGGGCTCCCCCCAGAGGACACTGCCGGAGGTCTCAGTCAATCCGATTGCCACATATGGTGAAGCGGTCTATGTCCAGCAGGTCTTCCTTCCGGGTCTTTCGTTTGGCCTCGGATGCGTTCTGGGTGGCGCTGGGACCCTCCGCCCAGTCTGACACCGGTGGGGGTTGGACCGGGGTACAGATGGAGGGCTTGGGGGTGAGGCTCCCCAACTCGGCTGGCTGGAGGATGATGGGGGTGGAGATGGGGCTGTCCACAGGACCAGCTGAGGGGGGGGGGGGGGAGATGATAAGTTAGGGCTAACGGACACATCGCTTACGCTAGACTGTAGCAAGAGCTGGCAAGTGCCTTCATTGGATAAGAACAGAAATGCAACCGTATCCTAATGAGTGTGCGTCCAATCAGACGTGGCACCCTGGGTGGGCGGAGCTTTGTTTGCTCTGTATGACTTAAGGCATAAGTTACAACAAAGGCGGAGGAGCTGGGGTCATGTGAGGTCAGAGGGGTCACGTGAGGTCACGTCCAGATTTTAAACACCCCCATGTTACCCTGCAGACTATAACACTATAACACACCTTATGGCCGCATTACAACACCCCCCCCCCCCCCCCCCCCAGCTGACACTGGTTTGCGACACACTCTGATGTCACGCGTTCTCTGACCGGGCCACAAGTAACCAGGCAGTCCAAAAGGACTTTGTGACCTTTCCGGCTCCTCGCTGATGCTCCACGTGGCCACAAGGTGGCGAGCGGGAGGAGCAGCCGGGCCGGAGGTCTCAGAGCAGAGGGCGGGGGTGGCGCTCACCTGTGGGGGGGCTGCCTGGACATTTGGGCCGGCCGGTAACTCTCCGCGGGGCCGACGCTGAACGATGCCGCGTCAGCCTGTCTTCCATGTTGGCCTCTTTAATGTAGATGCAGGATTTGCCCACGAGGATGATGCTGTTCAGCACCTTCAGGGACATCATTCTGCAACCGGAAAAAAGCCTGTCAATCCGCCCTTTTACCATCTAAAGCAAGGCTCCTCAGTTCCGGTCCTGCAGGGTCAGTCCACAACACAGTTTGCGGATTTCCTTGCTCACACAACTTGGGAGCCCGATCTAAAGCTCATCTTACAGCTGACAGTAAGGGACCCTCTGCAAAAAGGTTAATAATATTTAAAGCAGGACAATGTTTCTCAAATTTTTTTATTATTTATCGGTATAGCAGAATAAAAACACTGATTCTATCAGAACTATTGTGTCACTAAAAAATACGATTACCACTTATGGTAATTATTCCTCAGTGTTCCTCCTATGCCAAATTATGCTTCATCTCGTAGACGAACGAGTAAACGCGTAAATAATTAATATCGATGACTGTCAGAAGGCACCGGGGAGACTCACCCCATGAAGAAAAGTATCAGGCAAAGGTAGGATAGAGTGCCCTCTGCTTTCCAACAGCTCAGCACCACGCGGATTAGCTGTTAAGTAACGACAAGACGACAGCCGATACATTCCTGACACACGATGAGGGACTCGGATGAGTCATTACCGGTCGCTCTGGAGTCTGAGGCCTCTCAGCCCCTTTGAGGTAGTCTGAGATGCCTTGACATTTTTAAATACTTTACCCATCTAAAAAACATTTCTCCCAATGTCCTACATATGATTTTATTCAACACAAACTCAGCACCAGTAATCTGACACCAAAAGAAAGAAAAACACATTATAAACATTTCAGGCCAAGACTTTTGAGCTCTGGAGCTTGTAGACATAAGTTCTGGCTACACAGGTGATTGAAGCATTTAGAAATTTCATGTGGTTTGATACTAAGGTGCCAGAACTTTGGAGTGACGCTCCAGTCGCCAACACGAGGAACGCTGCCTCCATCTGTCACGAGGAACGCTGCCTCCATCTGTCACGAGGAACGCTGCCTCCATCTGTCACGAGGAACGCTGCCTCCATTGTTGCTTGCTCTTGTTTTTTCCCCCCAAGCAAAATTTCTACTGGGCATTAAACTTAAGCGTTGTTGCTGGAGAAGCTTCCGGGATGCACACCGACCACAGTCATGTAAGTTCTTCATATTTGTTTTAACGCTACAAAAGACTGGATCAATAATGCTCTCCACTCTGCGGTGAAGACAGACGTTTACTTCGAAGCGCTATTTTCAGTAACCTGAAACTCAGCTTGTGGTCCTGAGGTGGATTGTGGGTAAATGTCCAATTAGCCATTCAAAACTACAAAGTAAACCTGCCTGATCTGCTTGCCTGCAGTAATGGTGTGTGGCCTCCAGGAGGCGATAAAGACTGCGATCTCTATCAAGCCTGATATGTGTGGCAGATGAGGCATTCAGGGGTAGTGTGTGTCAGGTCAGCAAACAAATGCAGGATGAGTGAAAACTTTAAGCACAAGAGCAGATTAGCGAGACGCACCAGCACTGCGAGAGGAAGAGGAATGAAGCCCATTCTCCTGGCCACAGAGTCACTGTAGTCAGTGTATGCCTGGTAATCAGAGAGGGTGGTTAGTTACAGCAGCAGAATGGGGGTTTCGCTATGCCTACGGATGCTCAAGACTTACGGTTTTCTGTCGGCTGCTGACAAGGTCGAAGGCCAGCCTCGCTCTGTACTCACTGTATACCTGGGGGGGAGGGGCGGTTTACACATCTCAGTCAGGTTAACTGGGGAACATGCATATACAGTGTACAGATACAGTGACCAGATACAGTGTACACATACAGGGTACACATACAGGGTACACATGCAGTGCTGACAAAAAGTCTTGGGACGTTTGCTAAATTCTGCAAAAATGTTGCAATTATATTGGTTTCATGAAAAAAGTCCTTTGACAAGCAATGTTTAACATATTTACACATATTTTCCACAAATGGATTTTCATTTTAAGTGTCAATTGCAATTGTCATTATCTCCCAAACGAGTACAAAACACAAATGTTTGGTGTTTTATGTTATTGCAATGGTGTTATTAATTAAAAAGCACTCAATGAGGCTGCTTGTCAATGAACTTATAACTCAGAACAGCTCTTTGAGAACTATAATTTGGGTTTCAATTTATTACTACTTGAAATTAATGTTTTACTTAAAGCTAGTGGTTGTTTCCAATGTGATATACATATATTTTGAAAACAAATCAATAGAGTAATGATTTTTGTTACAAAACCAATGAATTTGCAATTTTTTTTTTACCGAATTAAGCAAGTGTCCTAATAATTTCACTTTCATTTAGTCAGTGAATCAAAATCACTTCAGTTTGAGGAGATTCTGAAAGAAATGAGATGTAAAGAGGACTGGTCACATAGTACTGGTGAGAATCCTAACCAGTCCGACACGGACCTTTCAATGAGTTAGTATGTAAGGAAGTCAGTAAGTAAATAATATCGTCACACCTGTCAAATGTGGTGTTGCACATTTTAATACGTCAAAACTAACATGTACACAGAGATTCCTGAGTGGATCTCAATCTTCACCCCTTTCACACGAAGGTACCAAACAGTCATGTGTGCAGAAAATGTAAACACAGAAACAGACACATTCCAGATGCGAATACGATTAAATTACCATCTCTATGGATCTGTGATTCTAGATATAAACATAATTCTACAGCTGAAGGGGGGTGGGGGGGTGTAATTAACGGAGGAGTACGCACGTCGGCTGTGAGGTCGTTGAACTTCGTAATGAACGCGTGCTTCACCACGTCCACCGCTACTTCCGAGGCTATTACCATGCAGACATCAGGGAGCAGGACCCACAGATGATCTGGACAGAAACAGCAGGAACATCACAGCTGGTCACATTCACAGTGAGCCGCACCCAGAAGGGGTGACGTCATCGCAGGGATGCCGGGCAGAACCATCGAGCCATTACCTGGGTTCCAGGAGAACTGCTCCATGTTCCTGAGACACACAATGAGCACCAGGATGTAGTTTGTGAACCTCTCCTTGATGTCTGGCGTTAGCACACGTAAACACACATAAAAATGCAGCACTATATACACACACACGCATACACAGCTATGCGAATATTACATCACAGAATTCAGTATCATCCTTGTGCATTTATGGATCCATCCGTTTACTTTGACGTCTGCATCTTTCACCTTTAGAGTCATCGGATTCAGAACGCATTACACATCCATATTTAAAGTGACAGTGGGTAACTTACCACTATTTGACATGCGAAACAGATTATTTTTCTCAAACTTCTTGAATACACTTCCTTTAATCTCCACAAACTGTGAAAAGATGAAATTCTCAAACTCCTCACATTTAACCCACAAGCGCTGTAAACACTGTGCAGGGCTATACCACTATGGCATTTATTCACCTAACCTAAGATTTCTCTTTATGCATATATACTGTATATATATAAAAAAAACATCAACCACACAACCAGAAGACTCTATAGATGCAGAAGAGGACTATTCCCTGTACAGATGTAGTAAATGGAAAGTAGCTGACCAAAGAAGCATACTATTTTTGGTTGCTTTACAGAGTTTTCACACAATTAACTGCTAAATATTTAAATCTAGGATATTTGCTGAGTTGAGGCATAGCTCCACCAGTAGGGGGCACACGTGAGCCAGCATCTGAGCACCAACTGACATCATTAACATCAACTTCGGTTAACCATACACTTCCAATGAGGCCTAACACGACCCTATAGGTGAGCTTCTAAGCCGGGAAACAGCACGAGCCTTAATGCTCACATTGTTGGACATCATGATGGTCAGCAGGGACTTGTTGTGGGAGTTGAAGGCCACGTTGAGCGTCGTCGCTTGGATCATGATCAGTACAGCATGCAGAACTGCGACGTGCACACTAAGGAACGCAAACGTCTCAGAATGATCTGGCAGCTGCTACTTCAGCAGCGACGGGCGAAAGTTACCCTCCCACTGATATTCTCCTTCTTTGTAGCATGACAATGACACGGAGAGCGGCTGGCGTCAGCGAGGACAGCAAACAGGATGAGCGGATGGAGTGCCAGTTTGTGGGGGTTAACAAAAGAGTAGAGCATCACAAGCAATGGATGAAGAACAAGGAGAATGAGAGAATCACAGTGTCTCAGGGCTGAAACTTCATACAGGATCACAGGAGATCTAGGCATGCACTCGGGGACCGAGGGAATGGGACGGAAGTCCATGCCTGACCAGTAGCGATGGACAAAATGACGCTTCATGAACCATGTCCTGTATTTTCAGATCCCAATAGATGGTGCTCTCCATTGAAAAAGGGCACAAACCATGCCCCAAAGCAAACAAAATGCACCATCTAGTGGGGACAAAAAATATAGCAGATGGTTCATGAAGTGTCATTTTGTCCATCACTACTGGCCAGTAACTTGGCACAGGTAGACAACACAGATCACCTGATTTGCCACACCCCCCTTGAGGTAAGGATACACACATAAAGAACGGCGATGACAAAATGGGGTATGAGGCCGATGTGAGCTCGTTTCCTCTCTTTGGGTTCAGCAGCCGTCCAGTAGAGGGCGTCCAATATGTCTTGGCCAACAGAGGAAAACAGGCGGTCGGCTACCTGAAGGGGTAGAAGCAAAAAAAAAAAAAAAAAGCCATTTAAACACAATAAAAACACAGCACTGATTTATCAATTCATTTACTGATCGAAGCTTTTATCCAAAGTGGGATACAAGTGAGAAAGCAGGGTCCCTGCAGCAGCTGGGGATTAAAGGCCATGCTCACTGGACCAACTGCGATATCACTGCGGGCCTCAGGATTTGAACCAGCTACCTTCCAGTGAGTAAATACCCAAAAGAACCACACACCACTTAACCAACAATGCTCAGCTGCCTTCTTTGAGCAAAAAAAAAAAAATGGCAGCACCTCCATCATGTTGTAGATGACATAGAGCTTGATGACCGACTGGCCGCGGATCATGTGGTACATCATGGAGTAATCCACGTAGTGCAGCAGGCAGCAGCAGATGACCATGATGAAGGCCTTCAGGATGTCGCACACCTGGGAGGGCTGCACGATGCATGGGCCTCTGGAAGCAGACACAACGGGGGTGTGACTGGTCCAGCAGAAACCAGAGCAAACATCAAATGAGACAGATGGATGCTGTAGGAGGGAAAGGCAGGCAGAAGAGCAGAGAGAGCATCATCGAGAGTAGCAGCTCTGCAAACAGGGGCACTGGCCTCCGCTGAAAGCCGATTGGTCTCTGGAGCACCCCATCCACTGTCACTCACCAAATCAAAACATATCATTGGTTACTGATAAGGTTGGCCCCTCCGTATGATACATGGCCGCCACTTTAAAAAAAACCCTAGGATTGCCCTTCAGGAGAGAATTTAACATGTCTGAGCTGATGAAAAAATATGAGCATGGCCTTCCATAATCTGCAGACGACGCAAGAGCGATGGCCACCATGTCCATCGGCTCCACCTGCAGGCGATCAGGACCATAACCGGCAGGGCGGACGAGGCTCGGGAATCTGACCTCCTGGGAAGACCTAAGACGTTTTTACCGAAGCGTAGATGATGTGACAAACGGAAGTACTGACACAGCACATCTCTGAGGCTATTGGCTTTCGCTCTGTTGTCATAAGGCGTAAACGATTTATAAATTATCTACGAGTTCACTTACGATCTTAAATCTCAATCATGAGACTCAGTACGCCACAGGGTTAACCACGGGGTGTCTGTGGAGTACGTTATGAACTTTTGACCTCACAAATCAAGCTTATCGCCTCTAGGTCCAGGTCTAACAAACAAGGAAATAGGATTTGCCATCACTCTCTCATATTCCAGGTGCAAAACCCACGTACACAATAACATGGCAGTCTTCCATCAGAGGACAACTATCTTTCAGTCTAATCTCTGCCAGTTCAAAGACTGTCTTCATGTACTGCAGACATACACAATGCATCTTTTATTAGATGCAGAAGTTGCGCTGTCATACTAAGTCTTCGATCTGAGGATCAAAGAGTTCTGTCGCATTCCCCAGGTAACCAGTCCTGGTTCTCTTCCAGCTCCTATTAGGAGACGCTCGTGATATGAAGGATTCTGCAGCATGGAATCGGAAGCCGGCTCAGGCAGCCTAAGTGCAGAGGACCAGGTCTTTATCTTCAAATCAGCTCAGAAAAAGTAGACCAAGGCTTGTTATGCAAAACTGAGAAATGAAGAGGATGCTACAGGAAAAGCAAAGCCGTGTTCAGCACGAGTATGGGTGACACAGTCAGAGCTTAATCTGTGAAATACGAAAGACCTCTCTGGCAATGAGCACAACTTCAACGTCCATGAGCGATAAATGTTTAACCCCACACCCGGCCCACGTTATTAAATGCACACAGAACGTGGACCTGGAGGAGTATCGTGACTCAGTCATGAGAAAACAGCATCTAGGGCGACAATCAGTAAAAGGGCCCCACAACCGGGGTGAGCAGGGAGGTGGAAACACACTCAAACACGGTAAACATGCCTGGTGGAGGCAGGTAAAAGCGACCCAGAAAGTGACTAAAGACTGATTGTTAAAAAGCTTTTCGTAATATTCTGCTACAGACAAAAAAAATGTAAATGCTCAAATTCATGTTCAACAACCTCCTACAATGCCTGAAGTACAACGGATCTTCAACCCCGACAGTCACGGAAGGGACGCCACCGTCTTTCGGGAAGAGAGCAAAGCTAAGATTGTGTAAAACTGCCATCTTACCTGGCAAATGAGGCTACTTCTGTAACGCAGGACGAATGGCGAAACAAGATTTAAGAAAAGCGAGAAGAAAACAATTACCGGTGAGTAAGCCCCCTAACGGCAACAAGCACAGAGCTGTACGCAGTCTTACACACACTCAACCTGGCGGTACTAACATGGGCCAGGCATACTCAACCTGGGGGTCCTAACATGGGCCAGGCATACTCAACCTGGCGGTCCTAACATGGGCCAGGCATACTCAACCTGGCGGTACTAACATGGGCCAGGCATACTCAACCTGGCGGTCCTAACATGGGCCAGGCATACTCAACCTGGAGGTACTAACATGGGCCAGGCATACTCAACCTTCCCTCAACATTAAAGACTAAGATTTCTGCACACCAAGGGCGACCTGCAAGCTTTACGATGAAAAACTCTTGTGGACTTGAGAGAGGTAATTTTTTTTTAACCTGCCAGATGTGCATCCTGAAAGAAGGAGAACAGACGGGGAAATTCATATCTGTACAGATGGCCCAAAGTGCTGCCTGAAACCAGGAGAGAGAGAGACAGAGAGAGAGAGAGACACACACACACACACACACACACACACACACACGCATAGCCCACAGGACACTATGTACAGGGACGAGAAACACTTCACAAGCAGGTCGGACTTTCTCACTGTGTCGTTACACCATGTTCTGTTATTTGACGCCCCCTTGAAACACCAGCATTTTACACCCTTTACCCCAGAGACATTTCAGCGATGCTTGTCTGCCATGTTTGTATTAACTGCAGGTCATAGTTAATGCCATTTGCCGACAGTTTTGTTTACTCAGCTTAGGTGGTTTTTGGCAGCATAAAAATCAGGTCAATCCAGAGACTTTACAAAACTAATGAAACACTGGTGAATTAAGGAATTAAAAGCTACAACGAAAGAATAAAAAATATTAATAAGGACAATTCAAGATTTAGGTCATGTTCAAGATTTGGGTTAACAGACGGAACTGGGCATGTGAAGGCAGAGTCATGACGATGAACCCCCCCCCCCCTGCTGTGGATGTGGTGTGGTTAGGGTTGGGGGGGGGAGGAGGTCACAACCTGAGTTTGAAGCAGGGCAGGAGGAGCAGTCGGGGCAGGAGGAGCAGCACCCTGAGGGGGAGGAGGGTGAACATGTAGAGGAAGGCGTCCAGGCACAGGAAGAAGCCGAACACCATCAGCTGCAAGGCCAAAAGGAATCGAGTGAGAAGAGAGGGGCGTCACTGCAGAGATCCCCCTGCT